TTGTGCAGACTCCGCAGCGGTGTTTGCCAGAAGCTAGTCACGGTATAGGGACTGGGAGTTAGCCTCTTCCAGCAAATGAATCTTTTAATTTACAGACCAATAAATCTCCATGTCTAGGCACCTTTTGGGAGACCCAGCCTGGGCTCAAGGAGACAAGACTGGGACTCATCATAAAGACCAGATAAAGTTCGCCAAAGTTATTATTTTTTCCCCCTTCTATCCTTTTTCCGCCAATCCGCAAAATTCCCCCATCCAACAAATAAAAGTTCAGGGAAGTAGCAGCTTTTCCTCCACGAGCAGATGGCTGGGAATTTCTGTACCTTTTCACAGCAAGCCTGTTGACTGGAGTGCTTTTCCAAGCTCACAGACACTGAAATGATTTATAGTTTTCCAACGAGTCACTATTTGGGTGTGCTGTTTAGGTGGGGCTGAGACAATCTAATAATCAATGTAAGGCCAGGGAGGGGTGGGGGAGGGGGCCGTCTGGGATGGAGAAGAGACTTAGCACCAGAACATGAAAGCCAGCCGGGTCTCCGGGGATGGAATTTGGGGAAGAGCCGGCGCACACGTCTGCTCGGAGGCTGTAAAGAAATACATTGTTAACAACCACAAAACAGACAATGCCCCGAGCTCTGCCTTGATTCTGAGCTGAGCTACTTTCAAGATTTTTTAGTAGCACTGTTCATTTTGATGGAGTTTCTGGGCCATTTAGAATTCAACCTTTAGCCAGCCTGCTCGTGGGGGTATGGTTACAGAATTCATTTTCTGGTTTACTAGCCCTCCTCCTATATTTTCTTTATTTCTTGATGGCCTCCCAGGGGTCCAATCTTCCCCCCTCCCTTCCTTTTATATTGTCCAGTTTTCTTCTCCCCTCAGACGATTCCGTGTTTTTCCTCTTTCTCCTGATCATGCATTTGTTGCCTATGTCTCCTTCCTTCCTTAAGAGACAGAGAGAGAGGAAAAAAAAAAAATAAAACAATGGCAGGGAATTTCCAAATGGTTCCCCTCTAAGTATTATTAATTACTGCTACAAGGCAGCCGGTTCTTAACTAATAACAATTCTTAACTAATAACAAAGTTGTAAATTACCACTGACTTTCAAATCTCTCCCATTTGTCAGCTCTGATGGATTGGATCCCTATTCCGCTCTTTGAAATCATGTTCGCTGCTCTGACAGTCAGCTCTCCCCACGAAGCAAAGAGCAGCGTGGGGGCCCTCCCTGCCTGGAACCCCCCCTCTGGTTCTACTCTTCACCTGAACTTTTGGTTCTCATCCTGGGGCCCACGGCCGGGCCTGGAACGCAGTGTGGGGGAGTGTCACCGGGGCAGTTCAAGCACAAGCAGGGGACGAGCGGACTGGCAGACCTGGGTGTGTGTTCAGAGATTTATTTGTACTTTTGGGACATGGGCAAGCAAATTCATTGTATTGACAGAGCCAAGGCACATCAGTTCTTAAGTCTCGTGGACGTTTTTTTTTTTCCTCCAGATGCCAGGCTAAAGCAATGGATTAAAATGTGTTTTTTTAAAAGATGCCTAAACCCAGAAAACTTACCCAAGCCAAGTCCTATTTCTCCTTATCTTCCTGGATACCAATTCTAAGGGGTCGCTTCACTGTCGGCTAACCTATCAGAGATGGGAGTTCAGATGGTGGGTGGGCAGGAAAGGTGTGTGTGTGGGGGGGGGGGCTGGTCCAAAGGGCTCTGGAGAACAGGAGCACCCTGAGGCCCCCACCTTTTGGCAAGGTGGGTTGTATATAATCTAAAGGTCCCCTTTCCTTCCACCACCATATCCAGAACACAATTTTTATGCCATGCCTACCCGCTGCCTCCAATACCTCTCAAGTTTTCATCTTAATTATATTATTAAGTGAAATACTGTGCTGTCAGGGAATTGAACATGATTTATGACGTGTGCCCATGAAAGGATCGATCGTGAATATCGCTACTATCCTGTATCAATAGTCTTCGGGAGGGAGGTCTGTCTCGCTCCACGGTGGTGGTTGGTGATGCCGACCGGATGGACTGCAGGAAAAGACGGTTTCTCCTTCACAGGACTAGCGTTCCAGGGGCCGCAGGGCGCACGTTCCAACCACCTCTCACGCCCACAGAGAGTTTAAAGATTTTTTTTTTAGTGTTTGAACTTGTGAATTCTCCTTCTGATCTAGTAGAAGGAAAACCAGAGTCGTTTGTTTGTTTGTTTGTTTTTTAGGGAAAGAGGTAACCTCTGCAGGTCGCTATGAGGGGCGAGCGTTTTCTCGGTTCCAGGAGGTTTGCAATGAGACTGGAAGGGAAAGACCAGCCGCCAAGGGACCTCTTTACGGGAGGACGGCTGGACAGAGCAGGGCGGGGGGGGGGGCGCAGACTGTGCACGTTTGGAGCAGATGTCCGGTGTGCCTGTGCCCTTCCACTTGGAGGTGTCCAGTTTCTGGGATCAGTCCAGGCTCTCTACCCCCAGCACCCCTAGGAAGCACCCCTTTCACCTGCTCCGGCCTCCTCCGCGGAGGAGGAGGCGGGTGCGAAACGCGCAGAGTGGAGGCCTGGGCGCCCAGGCCTTTTGTCTCCAGACGGAGCTCCGCTTTTCTCCACCCTCGCGGGGCACGGCACGGGTCACCGGCGAGTCTCAGCCTCTGCTTTAGGGGGATGGGAGGGCGAACCGAGCCAAACTGCCGCCTGGGACGGAGGCTGGAGCACCCGGGCGGGGTGGGGCGCGCAGCGCGGCCTGGCCCGTGCCCCGCGCCTGTCGTGCTGCGGCCGCACGGGGCCTCCTAGGCCCAAGACTCCCTCCTCAGCTGCCGAGACGCGGGGTTGACCAAGCGCCCGCTGGTGCCGCGAGGGAAGCGCACACGGCCTGGAGCATCGCAGCCTCGACCTGCGCGGGAGGAAGCGCAGGATGCGGGGCCTCGGGCCTGGCTCTGAGCCTGGCCGCCCGCCCTGGGCCTGGCCCTCCCGGCCTTCTCGACTCAGGCTCCTGCCCTCCACAGTGCCAGCTCCAAGAAGTAGGAACATCACCGGAACCTGTTCGCCTTCCCTTGCCCCGTCCCGGGCCGTGGGCCCACACAACGCACGGCCCCGCTGGGCAGGCGGGTTGTTGGAAAATGACCACCAGCAGGAAGGGAGCAAGCCTCGGCCTGACTCCTGGCTGTCTCCTGGCTGTCCCCCCCCCCCCGCCCGCCCCGCCCCGCTCCGTACTCTCCCGGCCAGGAGAATGCATTTCAAGCCAGAAACCTTCATCTCCAGGTGCACCGTCCCACCTACCTCCCCCACCCAGCCTCCCACTCCTACCCTTGGCCACGACGGTTTGTCCTCAGGTCTGGAGGCTCCCAGACACCATGCCTGGTACACAGTAAGCACTCAATAAATGCTCACTGTTGTCAGTATTAGGCACATCCGGTTTCCTCCACAAGCACCTCCCCTCTCACACACGTGTATTCCAGAGCCACCACGGCGCATCTGTGCCCCCCACCCTCCCCGCCTAGGGGCCCACCCGCTGCCTCTGCCCCCTAACAGGCGGGATCCACAGCCCCCCATCTCTGACGGGGCCGGGGAAGACCTGAGGCCCCTGCAGTTCCTCCCGCAGGGTGTCTGTCCAGGCCTGGGCCACTCTGGGCGGAAGGCACCAAGGCCTGAAGCAGGTGTTTTAGGTCCCCAGGGGGCCCTGCCCAGGTCAGCGCCAGGGGAGGGGCCTTTCTGCCCCATCACATCCTCTGACAGCGGAGAGTGGTTCGTGGCTTTAAAGCAAACAACCCAAAGGGAAACCTTTAGTGAGAACAGGCTGGTGTGTGGGAGGGGGTGGCGGGGGGGACACCCGGGGCAGGCGGAGGCAGGAGGGAGTAGTAGCAGCTGAGTCAGAAACGTCCGAATGGCACGTTTTTCTTTTCGAAACAATTCTCTGGGCGAGCCTTTCACCGGCCTGGGCCGAGGGGCATGAGTTGGAAGACAAAAGTTTCTAGGCACAGCGTCCCACCCCAGGTAGCCGATTTTATGTTACCATCTTCAGTAAATATAACTCCCCCTTCCTGGTTCTTCTTCTTATCAAGAATACTAATAACATCGCTGTTGGTCTGACTTTGCTTTTACTTGCAAACGACATTTCGGCCCCAGTCGTCCTCTGAGGCGGCAGCAGGAGCCACGCCCAGGGCGGCGACCACCTGCTGCGCCGCCGGGGGTGGGGGCTCGTCCCCTTCCTCCCCGCCCCTTCCCCTCACCAGGTTGTCGAGTATCCTTGGACCTGGGCCCCTTTAAAAATGGCAAATGTCTTGTCAATGCAGACCCTCCGCTCTCTCTTTCTTTCTAGTCCTTCTTGGGCGCGAGGGACCCGGGCGCAGGCCTGGCGGCGCGTTTTGCCGGGTCCCCAGTGTATCGTCAGGGCCCAGACCTTGGCCTCATTCGAAGCTAGTGCGTCTCGAGCGAGGGAGTCGGGAAGAAACCCGTGGCCTAAGGAGCTGGATTTAAGCTTTGGAGGGATTGGAGATGGAGGGCCTGGAAGGAGGCTGTGATTCCTACGATCTTCCCCCGCCCCCTCCCGCACAGGATCGTGCGTGCGTCTCCCCGCTCGGCCTTGCGGGGCGCGCGGCCCGCAGCTCTCCGCGGCCTGTGTCCCGGCGACCGGCTTCGCAGGCTCCGGGCCCCTGAGCGTCTGGCGCGCCCTCCCTGGCGCTCAGACCCTGCGTCCTCCGCTGGCTGCTGCGAGCCCCCGGGAGGAGGCGCTGGTGGCCGGGTCGGCCTGCGGTCCCTCCCCGCCGTCGTCCCCGGGGCACCCATTCACAAAGCCTGGCTTGGAAGAGGCCACACACACACACACACACACACACACACACACACACACATCCCGAAGAGGGGAGTTTGATCTTGTCTCATTGGCGTCTGGGCCTGAAAGGAAAATCGTTTGGGTAAACAGCCAAGCTTCCAGGCTTAACGCCCGGCTCCCGCCCCCGCCCCTCCACCCCCTCCCGCTCCCCCACTCCCCTTCCACCCCACCCGCCACCCACACTCCGCTCCGCAGCCGGGCCCCGAGCGAGCTGCGCGCGTCCGGGCGGGAGCCCGGGGCTCCGGGGTTCAAAGGGCCGCAGCCCCCCAGGGAATGCCCCGGGGGACAGAAGCGGACTGCAGGGCGGTGGGACCGGCCTGGGCCACGGTAGGAACCGCGAAATCTCCCGATTCCCTAAGTAGGGCTCGTCCCGGGGGAGGGCGCCGGGGAGTTCGGACCTCGCCAGCACATTTGCGCCCAGACCGTGCGGAGGCCCAGCCCGCGCCGCCCGGCGGGCACCCTGGGCCCCACCAGGCGGTCACAGGCGTGCGCACACGTGTGCGAGCGGCCGCGGCGGGGGCGCGGAGCCTCCGCAGGCCGCAGGGCGCGGGGCACACCACCGCAGGGTGATTATCGGGTCCCCGCCTCCTTGCAAACGGCCTCGGCTCCTGGCAAAGCCTTTAATCTATATTAAGCGTTTTCCGAAGTTTGATTCTTTCCAAAGGAGAGTTCTTCAGTTAACTGGCTGTAAACATAATTAATAGTTATTAACATGCAAAAAAAAACCACCCCACTTTGCGGTGTTTTAAAAGAGATTGGTTTCTCTCTAGCTCACACTCAAGCAAGGGGGAAAAAAAACCCCTCGAAATCTGAAAATATCCTGATTAGATTATTAGACCTGATGATAGGCCGACCCCTCCCCCCTCCCCACCTTCTGTAATGAAATTCCTCTCTCTTCTCCCTTCCTCTGTCTCTCCTTCCCTCCTCGCCCTCTCCTCTCCCAGCCTGGATCTCTCTCCAATCCAGGAATCATTAGCAACACCCTCTGGCTACATGTTTCGCATCAATGGAACATTGTGACATAGTTGTAATACAAACTCTGCCGCCTTGCACTGCGTCTTGCGGTAGGAAGTGTAATAGCAATAAAAAATCATTTTTCATCTCCAGGCATTATTCAGTGGGGGGGGAAAAAACCCAGAAAATCTGAATGTGAGAACAGGAGGGGGTGGAGGAGATAAAAATGAAAGCAAGGAGAGAGAGGGAGAGAGAGAGAGGGAGAGAGAGAGAGGGAGAGAGAGAGGAGCCTTTTGCTATGTAGAGACTTCTCAAACCTGGACACAACTAGATTCAAGTTTCTAATTTTCTGCATTCTTCTCTCTTCTCTTTTTGTGCCTGCTCCTCCTTTTTATGCCCCCCCCCAGTGGACCCCAGGGCCTTCTGGGTCCCAGCATCTCTCAGCAGACCCCTTCTCCCTGACATAGCGCCCCAACCAGGCCCCAGGACTCCCAGGGGCCCCCACTACCCCTCTCCAGCTGTCTGGGGTGAGGGGTCCTCACTCAATCTCTGCTTAGAAATCGGGGGACTCTCAGGGGCCTTCCCTAGCCTGATGAGGAAGAGACACGCCACCCAGAAAGCCAACGTGGCTATTTCCTTGGCTAAGCCCTGTAATTTCTGAGCACAGGCGCTCCGAGAGCCTCCTAATCTGCCAGGAGTGTCGGTTGTGAGGAGAAGACACTCCCTGCATCGCCTGCATGCCCTTTGGGAGCTCCACCTGCCCACGCAGGAAGGGCAAAGTTTCAAGAAAGGTCCTTCCAGGCAGGGAAACGGGAGGGCATAAAACACAGCCACATCCACTCTGTGGCCATAGTTCCCAGCTCAGCCAGCGCTATCCATGGGATCCACTGAGCTCCTTTATACAAAAACAACCGTAGTCAAAACCACAGTAGAAAGAATTCTGTGCACCCTCCACTCCCCCCCCCCAAACAAACACATGCTCAAAAACCCCATGCAAATCCTTACGAGACAAGATAGGACACTGTCATTGCAATACCACCTTTGGCGCCTTTGCAGGAAAAATCTTGTTTTCTGAAATTTGTTTTTACTTGTAACACCTATCTCTGGGATGGCGAGTTTTGAAAGAAATTGAAGCAGAGACTCACCATCTAAGTGAATTACACTTTCTTTCTATTTTTGTAGTCCTGAGGACATAAGAGTAGGGTGAGCCTCTTAAGTTACCCACTGGATAAAATAGGGTCAAACACCCAGTTACACTTTGCGAGAAATTCGGTGTAAGTTGTGACTCTGGTAGCTGCTTTCGCTGGCCTATGGATGTGCAGGTTTAGGGACTGAGTTGTGTGGTCATTTTGTCATCTGAGCCGAAGGCTGAGGGGGGACCGGGTGGGCCCCTGCATGGCAGGGCACCTTGGAGATACGAAGGACCAGAATGAGTGGGATTCGGTGGACATCGTAATTGGGAAGGGATGACTTCATAGGCACCGCCTGAAGGGAGATATTTGAATTGGCCACAGCTGAGTGGCCGGAACACGGTGGCGCAAACGCCTGGTCTCTTAGGGACATCTCTTGTTTATTTTCTATTTTCTACGAACATAGCGTCACGACTTCGACTTGGCGAAATTGCATCTATGTATTTTTTCCTCTTTCTCCTGTTATGTTCCTTTTACGTCAATGCAGACGCTGCGCGGTGTGTCGGTCGCAGGCAACCGGGTGTAGCCGGTGGGAAGGAGGCCTGTGCGTTTAAGCTTCCCTTAGGTTTGGGGGGAAAGTCCGAAGACGGTCAAGTTAGGCTGCGGAAGGCTGGCAGGCACAGCCCTGTAATTCCAGTTTCCGCGGCGAGGTGGCGCTCCAGGGCACGGCAGCGCGCCCGGCTGCCCGCCGCGTTCCCGCAGCGAGGCCGCGGCCACGGAGCCGGGGGGACGCCGGCTTCCCCGCGCCTGGGCGCGAAAATCCGGGAGCGCTCGGACCCGCTGGACCCGCGGGTCGGCGGGCGGGCGAAGGCCCGAGGCCGCGGCCGAGGAAGGCCGGCGGCAGCGGAGAGCGCGGCCGGGCCCAGGCGGGCCACACTGCCGGACCGGGTGGCTCCAGCGGGGAGTCAGCGAAGTTGGAGTTGGCCGTGGGACGCGGGGTGCGGGCCCCCCGGAGCCTGGCTGGCCGGCGCGCAGGGGTCGGGCTCGGTCCAAGCGTGGAAGGCCGGGCCCACGCACACCGAAGGCGCCCCCAACTCTTGCAACCCCTGCTCTTTTATTTTCCTTGTTATCTTTTTCCTTTAACGAAAACTAAAAAAGGGTAGAAAATCGCATGCACTCCGTATTGCTGTTCCCCCAAACCAGAAGTTTTTCCTATTCGATAGGGTTTTTCCTTTCCTTCCTTGTAGCTTTACTTCCCTCTCCTTTTCGTCCCCCCTCCCTTTTTTTTCCGTGTCTGTTTTTCTTTTCCTTTAGGCTAACTTCGGAGAGCTAGTTCTGTGTGGGTGGGTGAGAGAGTGAAAGAGAGACAGAGAAAGAAAGAGAGAAATTAACAGCAGCCCCACAAGACCCAGCACTGGGCAAGTGACAGCAACATCGAAACTATTTCGATGTATTGGACACAATTCCATCCTGCGATTCCATTTCTACACTTTTGCTTTCCCTACTAATCTCACAATGCCTTTCCCCGCCTCTCTCAACCTGCGGTGGAGGGGGCCCTTGAAAACCATTTTTGAAACAATGATAGAAATAATTCTACTAATAGTCACAGTGCACAGCATTGCCATGTTGCATGAATTTCCTCGTGGGTTTGCAGTTAGCTCCGTGGGGTCCAAGCAAGGCCAGAGGCATGGCTGTTGATCTGGCCTTTCTGTTGAGCCATTTCCTTGACCCCTGGGTGACAACCCCTTACCCAGGAGCCTTGGGCCCTGGATGCTGGGAAGCTTTGCTGAGCCTGCACGTGGTCACGGAATAGTGTCAGCTGCACTTCCTTTAGCCCCCATTCCCTACCACCTCACCTTCCCCGAAGTTTCTAGTATAAATGCAAGTATTTTTCGGCCCCGTTTGGGAGTCCACGGAAACTCAGGGGGCCGGGTCATTAGGCGTGTTCACGTGGTGACCGAGACTGATAAACACGACCCGAGTCTCTTCCAGTGCATTTCTTCAAATGTTTATTTGAGTTCAGCCATGAAAAGTGACAGGTTCAGAATGGACAGGTTTTACACGTAATGAAGTCAGATGAGGCTTTAACCTGTCGGTTGCCATAAATCAGCTTTGAAAAAGACGAACGAAGACTATTGTTTGGGCGCCGAAGAGCCAGCGTTGGCTGAGGGGCCTGCAAGAACCCTGTAAGCAGGGTTTCTGAGCAGGAGCAGGGCCAGCAGCTGCACTGGGAGTGTGGCCCTCCCGCGACCCAGGCAGCCTGGGGCCTGCACTGCCTGCAGGTGACCCTTTAGGCTGGGGCAGGTCTCCATGCAGACTTTGACTTTGGATTTGGGCCACCTCCATGCGCCCAGGCAGGCGGCCTCAGCCCTCAGCACGGTTGGAAGTTCAGAGGGGCTGACGGCCAGGCCACAGTCTAGATGGGGCCCAGCCCGGGTCCCCAGCAAGGCTGAGGGTGTCCTTTTCCTTCTTCCGTCAGGTGGGGCCTGCAGGACACTCTACGCTCACTAACCCATTTGGAAATGGTAGCACCAGGTGGAGGGGAGGAAGAAGAGTGAGAAATTAAATCTTCCAGGGGCCCTGAGAAGCCAGTGGGTGTGGGTTCTCAGTGGCACCAAAGGGCCCTGGTCTGCTAGGGAGCCCAGGTGAGGCCAGGACTGGGGCCCAGCACCCAGAGGTCCCGTGATGGGGGGAGGTTTCATCTGGCACCTGCCCCACTCACCGAGTCCAGGCATGGCTTCTGGGGAAGGTGAGCTGGTGGGTGTTTTTAAAATAAATTTTCTAGGAAATCTCAGGTCCTCTACAACCGCAATGTAGATCATAGCCTCACGTGGGGCGGCGGGGTCGGATAGCCCTCTTCCCGGTGCCTGCAACCTGGAGTGCGGTGACTCACCTGGCCTGGGAGAGGCCAGAGACAGCCGGCTCGCCAGCAACAGGTGCTGCGGCTTATTCCCCCCCTCACCCCCACTCCTCCAGCCTCCTCTCTTTCCGCCTTCGTTTCTGGGGTCAGCAGGAAAGAAGGAGAACACCTCCCCCCGCCCTTGACCACAGAGGGAAGCCCACAGAGGGCGAGGAGACCCGGCCACTTGGGGGGGTCAGTGTCTGGCTGGGCGGCTCTAGAGGCCGTCTGTGGCCGGGAGTGCACTTAGCTTGAAATTGCCAGACTGGTGGCTGGACCCTCCGACTGGGAGGGCCCCTCGGAAGACCAGTCCCGGGAGAAAGAGGCCGGGGTGGGGTGGGGTT